TTTACCACTAAAATAAATAAATAGTTTAGAAAAAATCTAAGAATACAAATTAATAAATGCAAAAAACGAGCCTCAAATCCAATTCTGCCGGAAATGTATTGACATTTCGGTCAACAACTGTATCTGCTGAAAAAACTCCCAGATAATTATTAAGTAAAAGTGAAACGAGTAAGATCAAGTTGAAATAAAAGCAGCATTGTTATGCAAATAATATGACAAAATTTAATTACAAAAGAGCATAATTAAAATGAGAAGCGAAAAAATTATCAACCAAAATAAATGAAGCAACTGATTAAAAACATGGAAATACACAAGGTTTCACAATTTAAATTGATACTTTCGTTAGCAATCATTTTATCATCTTTCATACGGTCAGTCTCACTGCCCTTGTGACCATCCAAAGGATTATCATCACTTATTTCTTCTGCATGTTTTTCTACACGGAAGCGACTCTTTATTTGAGGCTTAAAATATAAAAAAGTAGATGTATTTTTATTATGTGCTGCTTGAATGCCAATTTTTTCAATTAAAATATTAGTTTGCATTACTTTTCACTTTGATAAAACAATTCGAATAAGGGATAATCTATTCAAAACAAATTTTAAAATATTTTTCAATATTATCATATAAAAAATTGTAAGCATTAAGACGTAAGAATTTATTTATTTATATTATGAAGAGATAAAAGCTTGCTAGTTTTGTCGTACAATAAAACAAGCATGAAACAAAACATAAAAATGAGTAAGTAAATAAAACCTCAGTATCCTTAGTATCACTCAACATCTCATCAACATGTTCTTTCAGAAATTCAGCGCTTTTTTGTTTTGCTACAAATCTTCTAGCTTCACGGGCCATTTGACTTCTTTCTTCCATCAATAATGTTCGTTCAAAATCAGCTCGTGATATATTAGGATCACTCAGAATATTTACCTAAATGTAATAATAAATCCATTTATAGATTATCATCGTTGGAATTCTATACCACAACAAATATAACTAGATAATTATTATTAATAAATAAAAATATAAGCGAATAATGAATGAGCAAATTTAAAACCTGCACGAGTGCATCAATACGCATTGCTTTCAAATAAAAATTAATCCTTCCAGTCATTTCTACTTTTTCTTCACTATCTCGAGCAATGCCAATAACGCGCAGTTGACATCCACGCCAAACCTGAACAAATTATCAGCTTTCAAATCCCCCATTCATAGGGATTTTTTCGGAGTACATCTACATTTTTAAGCTTTTCTTAATCTGATGGTATTCTGATTCCCCAAAAAATCTCAGAAAAACCAACTTTATGATGTAATAATAAATGAGCAATAAGGCCAAGAAATCCTCGGTCACGAATAATCCAATATGCATCAACAAAACCATTCTTAACTGGCTCAAATATATATGGAAAATGTGATACATCTTTAGCAACAAGTAAACACATCTTCATTACATACCCCGCATGTAGTTTATCTGTAATCATCAAAAATTCAACATTAGTTATTAAAAAGCATTTATAAAATTATACAGTCAATATAGCTTCTCAATTTTTTTTGTTGAACAAATTTATAAATTAAAAGCAAAAACCTTTCATATCCAAATTTGTACCCAGAAATCTAAAGAAGTAAAAAGTGAACAGAACAAAGCACATATTAATATTTTCATTTTCAGGCACAGCAAAAACTGTGAAAAAAAACAATTTTAATTTGATGGTATGTGGATTTGTCATAAATTAAAACTGTTACTAGCAATGTAAAAAGCTGTGTGGTGAAAAATTACAAGAAACTAACCAACAAATGTGGAGTACTCAGAATCTGGTGATTCAGAAGGCCAATTAGGGCCATATGAAGGCCACTTCAACAACAGAGTATTGGGACAGAGAGCACCGACTCCAGTACTTTGAATTACTGTCGAAATACTACCACAAATCTGAAGAAAAGATTCTTATCAATGTGATCAAGTGAATTAATATTTAAGCATATTTTGATCCTTGTAACAGGCAATATTTATTCATCACTTACTTGAGATTCACCATAAACAAGAGTTTTAACAAAACCACGAATTTTTGCTTCTTTCATATCGTCATTTAATCGTTTACGTATCTAAACAATTTCAGATGTAACAAATTCTCACATAAATTAAAATAATATTTATTTCCGTGAATCAGGAAATACTAATAATTTAAATAAAAAGAGATATCCGCAATTTTTAATTCATCAAAATAATGATAAGTAAAACAAATTAATGAGATTCATTTAATATCAGTAAATATGATAGATAATGCGAACAGCTCTTACCTAAATAGTATCTGCAAAACAAAATATGAACTTACCTCATTAGCTATGTTTTGGTCATTTTCATCAAAAGGATTGCCACGAAGAAATGCGACAATCACACATAAGCCTTGACTTGCCTTCAGCTGCGAAGCAAGATGCATCAATCTTTTATAGCGTGAATCTGTTCCATCGTTCTGCCATTTCATTGAAAATAGAAGCAACAATTGTGGTCTAAAAAAACAATACTCCTAGTTATATGTAAAAAATTTGTTTACTTCGCCAAGGTTCTGAATACCTGAAATTTTTTGCGTGAGATGGTTCAGTATCGTTTATTGTTAGCAAAGCTTTTTGTGCGGTTGAGATCGACAAAGCTCTCATACCATCTCCCCATTCCCTGTTTGCCCTGAATATTATCCATCATTACTAATAAAAGTCTGGAAAGCAAATTTAAATTTTCTATCTATAATTCTTGTCTAAAACATCTACTGAGTATTATAAGCGATGTAATACTTCTCTAATTTTGCATGAATATTTATAAGTTTCATTAAAATGTAAACGACGGATTTGATTTCCTAACAAGCAGCAGAAATAATACCCTCTGTATTCTGTGTATTTATATAACGAAAAGCATAGAAGACATGAGATAATAGCATAATCCCAATGCGTCGAAAACATGATAAAAAAGCACAAAAAAGCGCCAAGTAATGCAAGTGACCTGAAAATACATAACATAGGTCATCAAAAAAAATAACCCATAATGCTAAATAATCTAGATAACTACTAAAGTTGTTTCTGAATAATCATTTCATGTATTAACTAACTATGTTTGACACAAAAAGGAAAAATATGTGCTATGTTTTATGTATAGAAATAGATATAAAATTAACGAATGTACATATATAATTTACTAAAGTATATGTATTTTGTACTACAATAAAACGCAATTTAGATGACATTTACTCTTAGCACAACTCATTTATAAGTAATTTTTCCAAAAATATATCCAATAAAGAAAGCACATATTTTTATATTACAAAATATATTTTAGTATACATTTTCGTAATTAGAATTTATGCAAATAAATCTCACACATTATTAAAATATGTTTATTGCAATGATATAACAATAAGAAACTTGTAATACTCACCAATGATAATATTTATAACGAGGCCTCCAATTAGGTGCCTTAACGATGGAATGCATTGCGCAAATGACATTAATAAATGCGTAACACATCAAGAAGAAAAAATCCACAACAGCAGCAATATGATCCATAGCACCCAGAAGTATAGCTAACTCAGCGATCAACGTGGTGATCAGTAATCTGAAGAATTATTTCTTGAAAACTGTTTCCGTAAATATACATAAAATTTATTAAATAAGAATTCATTATAACACGCTATCATGTAAGACTTTAAGGTGTTATAAAACCAGTTTCATTTTTTTAACCTACTTAACAAAATACAAATTATAAAAGCCTTCATTACAATAAATCACATATTACTACTATTTATTAAAGCATTAAAAAATAAGGACTTAGTATAATTCATAAAAATAAATCTTATAATTATTACTTATGCTAATATCATTCTTAACAGAATCATACATTACGAGTGAAAAATGTTTTTGAAAAAACACATGTACATAAATAATGCTTTTCTTAGTTGAAGTATCAGATAAATAGATTGAACTTAAGCTCACCCATTGAAAGGTTCATTCCTTTTCGTTAATTTCTTAAAAGCTTTCAATTCTGGTACCACATCATCTTGTGCTATGCATTGTAATAAACGAGGAGCACATGAAATAAAAAGAGTTGCTATGAATTTTCTATAATATTCAAATTATTCATTTTTAATATCTGTTTATTCCTGAAAGTCTCCATATCATTGAATAGAATAATATTTAATATTTAAAAAAGTGTTAAAAATAAAATGGTTTACAGCAAAATTTGAACAAAATAGCAAACATACTACATAAGCATTGCAGCGCGGCTCCAAAAGTTGATGTAAATGAGCCAACAAGCAAAACCCAATGACTTGGCCACGCCAAATTTGCCACAACCATGCTACCTGCCATTGATGTTCCATACCTTAATAACAAAATATCATTACCTTAAACTAAAAAGTAATAATTATATCAACAAAGCAAAACTTTCAGTACAATTGAAACACAAAAATCTTCACTGACTAATCACACTGACTTATCTCTCAAAACATCGCCATCAATTGCTGCACCAAATATGAATGCAAGGGCAAAATATATAAATGAAGTAGTTAACTGTGCTCCCAGTGTACCTGATGGTATCGACTTCTGAGCATTTTTAAGATCACCTAAAATAATTTTGCAGTCTTTTAAATTATTAATTAAAACAAAATTTTAATTTGAAAAAACTGATCATTCTTCATTTATTGTTGAAATATTTTAAATAAATATACTCACCGCTCATATTAGTTCCAGTCAAAATTCCAGTAACAGCTGGAAAATATATAGCTAATAACACAAAAAATGTTGTTTGCACATCTTGATATACCTCGGTGTGAGTTTCTGCCAATTTTCCAGGTTTATATTCACCAGCTTTCATGTAATTTGCTTTTAAGTTTTCTACAAATTGAATAAAAAATTTAAACGACATCCATAAAAATCATAATCATATTAAAGAATTATATCTTTTAATTTAATCTTACTAAATAATAATACTTTGAAATATAAAGGTAAACAAATGAAGTTTGTGATAATACTTTCAAGTTTGCGCAGACAAGTTAATGAGGTTTTTGTCCAAGGAAAACAATCATTTACAATTTTAAAATCAACAGTTATCAATAAAAACCTGCTAAAACGCTGCCTGCAAAACCAGGATAACCGTTAACGCAATTTACTGGTAGAAAGCATGTTCCATTGGAACAATATTCTTTCAGATTTCTACTTCTGAAACAAAAAACTCCTGCATAAGTCAAATAGGCAAAGGTTAAATTTTTAGTATCCTATAATAATTACAATGAATACGTTATTTATCTTTAAAAAGCCAAATTCACACCAAAAATCTAATTACAATAAAATCATTAAAAATTCCTGAAATATGATAATTTTCTCTAATCATTAATAAAATATGTATCATGATTATCTAAAACTTACATATATTTTTCATTGCAATAATTGCAAATATCTGTGATGGAAGTATTTTTTGGCATAAATATTTGTGCTTGCAGCAAATGATCACCAATTTTGCACACTCTAAAACAAAACTTAATAGCAATATTTACTTCTGGCAAAGTAATAAAACAAAATTTAAATACCAGTCAAAAATCAAGAAATTACTGAAAAAATCTGCTTCTGGATATGCCTTTTATTATATTAGCAAATAATAAAGTTTAAAATCTTTGACCACTAAATCATAAAATAAGAAAATATAAAAACCTTTGACCACTATTAGGATTGATTGACTTTTCTATGCCACCAGCAAAACATGAAAAAATTGATAATATAACACACAAAAGTGAGATCTGAAAGTAAAATGATGAAAATAAAGCAAACAGTAAGACTAGACTAGTCAAAAATAACAATGCTAGAAGAACTGCGCAAGTAAATTTACAGGAGCAAAAAGCTGCACAAATCGTACACCCATAGCAACAACAATAAATTCAAGCAATAGAAGTAAAGTTGCATATATCCGTAAATTATGCGACATCATACCAAACATTTCTATAAAAAACAATGAAATTACTACATGAATTTTGTCAAGTTGGCAGCTACTATACATTGAAACAAATAAAAATGAAAAGAAATAAATATGAAAAAAAAATTTATTTAATTTTATAGCTTGCTAAATTTTGTTAAAGCTTGCTTGCTTCATTGGTTAGTTAAGAAATATCAAGAACTTAAATTCCATATCTTAGCATCTACATTATCAACCCATAGATCAGTTAGATCTTCTTTAGTTCTAGTTAAGAACTAGAAATATTCGTTACTAATGACAGTATTACTTGATGAATAAACAAATGACTGTAAGAGCTTGACCTGTATGTGATTGTGCTTCTCGACCACCAATTGTAATTTCAGGAAATATGTAAATCTGAAGTATGAATGAAATTTTGAAATAAAAGTAGTTAAAATAAAAGCTGCCAATAAAGTAAGTAATTTATTAATGAGATATTTCAGAAAAAGTAACCAGTAAAATTTCCACTCCACCAACAAGATACATGGATGCAGCAACAGCATTTCCCAAATAAAATAATGCTCCAATGGCAGTACCAAATTCCGTTCCGAGATTTCTTGATAACATGTAATACGCCCCACCGCTTTTAATTTCCCCGTTAGTTGCTATCGCTGATAAGCTGATACTTGTGATAAAAGTCTGCAAGGAATAACATTGAATGTTAAAACATTTGCTGAGTTATGTAGTGGTAACAAGGGAATAACTGCTATAAGCTATTGAAATCTGATTTTCCTTAACAGTTCTGAAAAATCTTCAATAATCTTGATCTTGCTATAGTTTTTGCAAAAAATGAACTGCATTTGTCAAGTATAATCATCTGATAAAGTTAACAAATAAAACCAGAATTAGTTTTTAAGAATTCAAACAGCTTAGCTTTGAAACTAAATGTGAAAAATTTTAAATACTGAAGAACAAACTGTTAAACAGCAAAGTGCCAGAAGTAGCGATGTTTGTGATACGCCTGCAACACCAACAATCCAGAATAAACGAATAAACATGGTAACACCAAGGATATGTTGAACTGTTGGCAAGTATACACCAAATAATGTACCCAAATTAGCTGACTATAACATCAATTACTTTTCCTAACGAAATTATAATGGTATTTACAGGATCAAATAAATTAGCATAATGAATAATTGATTTTCATCATAAATGGACTTGGTAACTGTCAACAATTAAAGATATTTTACTAAAGAAAGTAAGTAGGTAATTAAATTAAGAAGTTGTACCTTTACTGATCTTTCTAGGGCTTGAGGTTGCGTGAAAACCTTCAGATACTGTGAGAATAACTCCGCTGCTGTATCTTCGAACAGTTCCAGATTTGTATGAGCAATACTTGGCTTGAGAGTATCACCCTCAAATGATGACCTATTCTGATTTGATGCGAGTTCTTCTGTAAATATAGCTAATACCACAGAAATATCACAAGTTTTTGAATAAATTCATAAATTTTACAGTACTCATATTATATTTAAATTCAGCAGCCATAATATTTCAATTAGTAATTATAAAAGTAATTTAGAATAAGATTAAATAACTGATCTAAATTAATTTCAAATTTGTAAATCTCAATGCTTATTCAATAAGACTCAAAATTTTGGTCAATTTATTGATAAAGAGATATCTAATCACGAAATCATTACATCTCAGTTTAATGAGGAAAAATGTTTAATGGATATGATAATATAATTATTTTTCCACTCAAAAGAATATGATATATATCAAGTAATGCTTCATTTATGCTTACAAACAAACCTTTAATGACATCGTTCATGGATACTAGCAACGACGAAGTCTCACAACATTCATTATTTTCAGGAACTGTTTCCATATCTTTATCAGCAGCAGAAATCATGACTGGAGTTTCTTTAGCTATTGTTGAGTTTTGTAAAGTTATTTTCACGTTATCATTTTTATCACGACCTGATAATGATAACTTATTCATTGACTTCTGCAAAATAGACGTGAAGTAATATGAAAAAGAATAAAGAATATACTTAAAAGCTTAGAGATTAAATGATAATAGACGATTGCAGGTGAAATATGATAATTATCATCAGAATACACTATTTTCTTAGTATTTATCTCTTGGATGTTTATTATTTTCCAGCAAATACTTTGAGCAATATTTATCGCTCTAAGTATTACTGAAGTTACATCTTGAATATCTTTACTATTGACACAAGCAACAAAAAACAATTCTGATACTAGAAAATACACTGAGAAACTTTCAAGAGACTAGAAATTATCCGATTTTTAAACAAATAAATAACCTAATCTAACTATTGGGATATTTTCAGTAGAGCACAAGGATATATTCCTTTCACCTAGATTTCTTATCGTCTGAATATTAATAAAACAAAACTTTTTCTGGATTTTATATAACTTTATAGTGTCATCATAAATTAGAAAAAATTATAGACAAGAGTGGACATGCTAGATTATACAACAAAGTGACCAAACAACATCATAAAATATTTATTTTAAAGTGAATACGTCTCAATAATTATGTTCATCTCAATAAAAACTTTTCTTAGCATTTCTATTTCATGTATATTTTAGTTTTTTATCCAAATAAATCAATTATTATAAATAAAAGTACTTAATTTATCATTTCACTATATAATATATATTTCTAACGACAAATTGAACCTAATAGTATGCAAAGTTTGAAAAAAGCTGAATAATAAGCTCACAATGCAAATAACTAAATCTATGCTTAATAATCGTAGAAACTATATTTATCAGTGAGAAAATGATTATTTATTTTATCATTGGTATAATCGCCATTTGTCTCTGCTAAAGTAATTAAATTACATATTCATTTCTGAGTGAATTGCAAATTACTTTAAGGCAATATTTGCAGCTCAGTTTATTAAAAAACTGATAATCGTGCATTTCTAGCAAAAACTTCCTATCTGCCTAATAAAAAAGAGCTCAATTAGTATCATTTTTCATGCTAATAACGGGCAAAATATTCAAAATACTTGTGCATTAGCTTATGGATGCTCATATTATGCAGTTAAGTACAAAGCATCAACGATAACAATTATTTAATTAATAATATGAATAAGCTTTCTTGTTAATATTATTAATTAATCAGAAAATCCTACAGTTTCATTCCTAATTCAAAATAATATAAAGCGAAAATTATTCAAATTTCATCTTAATTAAAAAATACCAGTAAAAATTTCAGTAAAAAATTATCAGTAAAAATTACTAGTAGATATAGGAGATAAAGCAGAGAAAACAGTATGCAATTACTTAACTGGAAAATAATGTTGAGAAAAAAGATAAAACAAGCAAAAGTTATAAAAAGTTAGCTAACATTTAGACGTTACGCCAATGGATTAAGCATTAAGCATAATTGTATTCATATAAATCGTGCATTTTTCATCAGCTGCGATGGCATTTTTGCATTATCTTCAATGAATCTATTTTTTTGCAATTAAAAATAAATTGAACAATAAATCTTCACTTCGTCCGAAATGGAAAAAAATATTTTTTCTACGCTTTAAAAATAGATTGGATAAAATTCATAGCACTTTTATTGAGAACAGTTAATAATATTAACAGAATTGCTTGGCAATTTAAGTGATAAAATTAATTTAATTAATTATATGAATAAGTTTTCCTGTTAATATTATTAATTAATTAATCAAGTTTCATTTCTAATTAAAAATAATATAAAGCAAAATTTATTCAAATCACATCTTAATTTCTCATATCAATCATTAAAAAATTACCAGTAAAATTTACAAGTGGATTTAAAAGATAAAGATGGAACGTAGTAATTGGGCCTATTACTTAAGAATAATAATTTAAAAATATAATTCAGATTTTACTTAATATTATCTAAGTAGATTGAAAACATCCATTCTAGCACATCATTCCTAAGAATCTATTAAGAAGGATATGATTTGTTCGAAAACAAAAAATAGCCCAATTGCTACTTTCCTAACCAGTGATTACTGCTCAAGTAACAATAATATATGCCTAAATTAACTAAAATAGCAGCAAACTTTCTGCAATTTTTTACTTTTATAAAACTAATTTCTGCATACAAAACTGAAAACATCTGTTCATGAATTTGCTTACCACAAAGCATATGGCAAACATTTACATCTCATTTCATGCAATTTTGCATGCATAAATAATCGCAAATTTCGGCATACATTATTATTTTACATATATTTAAATTTGCGAATTTATTATATACCTGAATTTGCGAATTTTTATATACACAATTTTGTTATATTTAAACTTGCGAATTTTTATAAACACAATTGCATAATAATTAAATCAAAGTTATTATTAAATAATACTAATTATATGGATTAATTTAAAAGAGCACATGCAAATAATGCTTGATAATTTTTGGTAATAAAAGAAAAAATATTTCAGACATACATAAATTATTGCGAAGAAAAAAAAGGAGAGTAATTAAAAGTAAACCTTTTGTACTGAAAAATTCGGTAAGGAAATAGAAGCCATTATTATTACTTTCTTTGTTCAATTTGCAATATTCCTTAAAAGTCTACTCGTTTGAAATATATTTAATACTCAATTACTGAACTCAATCTGAAATACTAATGCATTGCAAAACTTAAAAAGATTCTTTACAAATACATCACTTAAACTGATTTGCTTCTTCTACTTAACATTTATTAATTATAATATTAGTATTTTTTCACTTTTTTATAAAAATTATTAAAAAACTGCAAAGTTAAAAAATGTTATCACAAATTTTTGATAGAAAAGTGAAAATAAAAGATTGCAAACAAAACTTTTAGATCGAAAAAGTAAAAAAAATTCATTCTATAACACCCTTTTATAAATTATTTATAAAAATTAATAATAAATGTGACCTTCACGTAGTGACCTTTTACTCCGATTTGTCTTCAGCTGTAAATTATAAATATTACCAAAATATTTGCAATATTTTTATTGTTTTTTTAAGTTTTGCAATGCATTAGTTTTTCAGATTGAGTTCAGTAATTGAGTATTAAATAAAAAAATAATCTTTTTTAGCTTTGAAAATAATTAATTTGTAAACGATCTGAGTAAAAAATTAGAGTTGGAAAATTTAGTACAAAAAGTAATTTATTTTGAGCTCGTATTGCCACCAAAGCGTTCTCACAAATAATGTGCTAAAAAATTATATTGTTTTAATTATTAGCATTTTTATTGCTTTCACAATTAATCATTAATAATACTGCATAAATAAAGAGCAGTGAAAAAAGGATTATCAACAACTTTGTAATGAAATACTTAAAGATAAATTCAAACTTTGACAATTTCAACAAATTTTAATAGCAATAAAAATTTTTTCAAAGTTCATTAAATTTAAAAGAATTAATTTTATTCATTTCCTTACGCTACTCTCGACTTCGAAAGACAAACTCACGTGGCTATGACTGGAAATATTTGACAGTTTATTTAATGCTTGAAGAAAAGTGAGAGTGAAGTAAAGTAACTAGCCAAGTTGCTTGTTTCAAACAACAAGATATTTAAAAGGATTTACTTTTAAAGTGTGCTAAAGGTAATGGGAGCTAAAGTAAGCTTTTCATTATTAGCATTAAATAAGTTTATTAAACGCAAAATTAATCTGTTTTCAAGCATCCTACAACTCTCTTACTGTTTAATTAATTAAATTAAAAACGTAATGCATTTACTAAAAATAAAAAATGCGATTATTTATGAGTAACAATTTTTGTTTCGGTTACTTAATATTCTAGCCAGTTGTCCAATTAAATGATGAGTAATCTAGAATTAAAAAAAAAAACGATTTATTGGGGCAGACTGTCAGTAGCACACTAATTACGAATTAATTAATCTCTCTCAAACGAGTAACTTCACGTGAAACTTCCAATGAACTACCGGAAAATATAACTGCTACTATCGATTCAATTACCAAAAATACAATCTATCCTTACTTCAATTTAGAACGCACTTACTATCATTGCTAATATTTCTCCAACCGTGATTAATGCAAATATTTACCTTCTTCAAACTTAAATGACCACACGTGTCATTTTAACATGTTTTTATTGCACTACATGCATATTACATTATTACATAATAATGTCCCATATGATAGATTACATTAAAGTGTTTTTATACTTTTATTATTGCTAGTAATTAGAATGAATCTATCAAACTGTCTAGCGTGACTAAGAATTTAAATTTATTCCATGCATTACTGTACGCTTTTCAACACCATCTACTAGTACGTTCAAATTCAGAAATAATACCTACGTCTGAAAGAAGTAATGAGATTATAAAATATGCGGAATTCATTATTTTTGATAAACTGATTAATGTGATTTCGAGAGAAATTATATTATTCAGTTAATTGGCAAACTTAAGTACAATAATAATAAAGAAAAGCTTAAAATAAATAAATAATCGAACTAATTACTTTCTATTTATTACTACACATAATTATTTATAATATATTGTTTTATTCATTATTTTCTTTTCATTATTATCAATAATTATTATCTATAATAATAAACAGAAAATAATACAGTTAAAACAATAAAGTGATATATCCTGAAGGATATTTAAGCTTATATCTTTTATAGTTTAATTATTTTAAACAACTTGAATATAGTAATGGATGAGATTGAGATGCGTAAGTATTTAGAAACCAAAAAACTGTAAGAGCTCAGTAAAATGCAGCACAGTTTTGTAGAAGCAATGATAAAACGATAAGGGAACGATGTGTTGAGATCATTTACTTACTTATACTTACAATAACTTTGGAGAATTCGAGAAGGGAAACTATAAGTAGAAAAAATATATATTATTTATTATCAGTTTGTGCACAGAATGACGTAAGAAGCGAATTATGAATCATCCATTCAACTTCTGCTTTACAGTATTGTACTAAAAACCGCAACTGATGAATTGAAAAATAAACAGTGATAAAATATCATATCACACATAAAATACATGCTAATATTCTAATTGGCATTAAAGTACAAAATTAAAGATTTTCAGGTAGTAAAAAGTAAAAAAAACAATGCATTATTTGCAAGTAGCTAATAAAATTACGTCGTAAACTGAGCAAAAGTCAAAGTTCATTCGAAATAAAACAGTTGCGAAAATATGAATAAATGCTTTAATTACGAGCGAGAAATAACTATCATTTGATTAGCAAATTTTTTTACTAAATTTGTGAAAAGTAATAGTGAAAGTAAAATAAATAAAGCACTAAGAAGTTAATATTAACTAGCAAGCATTTAAGTGAAATATTCACACTTGTAGACGATTAACAAGGTTATTTCAAGGTTATGACCTCTCGTTAACTAGCAAGTCACAAAGGTTAGCAATTGTGGTAGTTTTATTGTGCAAGACCATCACTAGAATGATTAATACTTTTCCACAATTATTTTAAAAAAAATCGTTTTATTTTTTCGTTCTTTTCATAAAGAGGCAATTAATGAGGAAATTAAAAAAGTGCGCCATCGTTATGTCCCGCATAATTTATTTTTCTAAAATTCTCTTTTCAAAATGAATTTTTTCTCTTGACCTTTGGAAAGGTCAATTTTTACACCACAAATGTAAAGGTCAATCTACAGATAAATTCATAAATGAAAAGTTAATTTAGCAAAGGAATTAGATTGTTTAAATGAATTTTATCAAACAAAATATAAGGTCAAACAAATTTTGAAATTAAGAGCTTAATGATTGGATTGTCATTTAAAATTTAAATTATGACATTAAAAAAATTGAAGGTCAAACTTGATAATAAAATTATTCTACTGAAATCACACAACAAACGGTAAAAGACAAAAAATCAAATTGGCCTCTAATTTGTGCAATTAAAAGTCATGTGCTATGCTTATTAACGTCATTTACGCACACAGACGTAAAAGGTTAGAAGTCTATTACTACAAAATGTGCACAACGCATCGGTTGTAGACAATAATTTGCCTTCAATCATATCTATCTGTTACTTCTGTCATGCACTATATGAAAGGCAAACATTTAAGCTTGCTAATCATTGAAAACGTATATGCTATGTTTTTTTCCTCTACCTTTATCCAACTACAACGACATTTCAGCTTAACGTTATTGTGAATTCTAATAAATTAGACGTCAAACAAATACACACTTGGAGTTAACGATTTAAATCTTTGGAAATCTGCATTAGAAGCTGACTCAAGAAGCGTAAAAAATATGCTACGCAAACGTGAAAAATGTGACGTAGATTTGGAAGGTTGTAAAAACTTTAGTCAATAATGAGAGAGATAAAAACTGACGAGAAATTATGTCAATCATTGAAGCATATGAATTATACTGATATTCAAATGAAAAGGAGGTAAAAAATTGAGTGATCGATTGAAGCTAGTAAATGCTCTCCTTCTCTCTTTCTCTCCGCTCTCTCTTGACATTACAGAGAAGCTGCGATAAGTTGTAAAAAATTGGGGATACTATGAGTTTGCTAAAAACGTGAGAACGTGAATGCACGCATGTTTTAGGACCTATTAAACGCATTGAAAGGTTACAAACGTTTGCCTGCTTCAAACGCTTACATCTACGTGAGATTAGTGGCTAAAAGCCATTCTTTTAGATACTTACTCTTGCAGGTAAAGTACTTATTTTAGGTAAATCTTTTGTAGCACATTGGGTTTTTAGTTAGTTTAAGCAATGCACGATTTTTTCAGTTCAGTTGATAATATCAGAATATTCGTCTTTTGACCTTTCAGTGGTATTACATTTCTTCTGACAAATTAGCATGTTTACATGATTCAAACGTGAGATTCATATGACAATACTTACTTACTTACGCAATCTGATAAACAATTGCCCAGCCATGAAGAAAATAACAGAATTCTCACTATTAAAAATAAAAAAAATTCCGGTTTCTTCTTCAAAATGTTAATCAAATTGAGATTCTTTCCTTCTCTTAAGAAAATTGAAAGCTTTCTGAATTAAAGTGAAGAAGACACAATTCTTCATCTCCTTCAAATCAAGATAATCATCAGATTTTCTAAAGATAATTAAACTTTTCTTCAAAAAATAAATTTCCGTCTAAAATTATTCAAGTTTTCATAAAGTTAATTGCATACACTTTTGAATACTTTCAGATTCTTTCTTGCATCCAAGTTGTGTACTGTTTACTTTTGTAAACAATACTGATAACATGCCATTATATCAATACTATAATCATTTTATTCACTAAAAATAATCTTTCAATATAATTATTTAAAAATTATATGCTTTGCTTTAATCATAAGCATCTATCAATTTTAATCCAATTATTTCGTAATATTAATCACGCAATAAATCTGTTTTTTTAAATTCAAATAAATGACGTGAATCACATGATAACAGTATTATCTTCGTATATGTGTTGTAATCATTGAAGAAGTTTTCGGCTTATGCGATATTTTTGCTGAACTCTGTTGTTGTTTACTGCTTTGTTCCTAACAAATAAATATTATTATTATATTATTCTTTCTGTTTGATTTGTATTTTAAAAGTAAATTATTCAATATATTTAAATACTTTTTTAATAATCCCTTTAGTTTGAAGCACATTCTATTCTGCAAAAGAACATTTTCATTCTTAAGAATCACTCAACTTAGCCACTTTCAGATTCTTGGTTTCTACACTCTGCATGAACAAAACTTTTGGTTTACCCGAATGTTATATTTTCTCAAAAGCTGATAGACAGTTAGAAACGTTTAAAATCTAATTTAGATCTGACAGCATATCAAAAATTCAGTTGATAAGATCGTTTATCACAGACCAGTAATTAGATAATCATACACTTTTATATTTAATTCCAGTGAAATATAGTTAGCCAATTCAATTCATTCATATCAGATAAATCTTTTACTGATATTTAACTTATCTGCTAACTTTTTACCTTTTTTGAAATGTCACTTCGACGTTTATCTGACTTTTCAGTCCCTCTAGAAGAAACTTCTGATCTTGAAGTTAGCTGATTCTCAGCGTGAAGCTTAGATGAAGATGGTGATGAAGTTGATGCAGGCGTTATACTGGTTATTTCTTTTACAGTTTTGCGCGGAATGCTTCTAGATGATTCTGAATAATCTATTGTATGCTTTGTTTTAATCTGAAATATTTGCATTAAAAAAAGGAATGAATTTTAATTTAATCACAAGATAATTAAGTTTAGAAAAAAAAATTAGTAATTAAATATTGATAAAATAAAACTAATAATTACTTGTGAGCTCTGAGTTATTGTTTTATTACTACTCTTAACAAGTACTGATTCAGATGAATCGATTAAAGTTTGATTTTCTTTTACCATTGGTTTCACTACAGACTTTGGTTTATTTAATATCTGTAATTAATATATTTTTAAAACTGACCAACAGTTTATCACTGTAATTATTAATGTATGAAAATTAATCAATAAATCATCGAAATTCATTGCAATTACTGAATTATACAAATTGTTTGAGAACTCATTAACAGTTAAGATGTAATAATTATTAATTTCTAAAAGTGATCAAAAAGTCGTAAATCATGATAAAATATTTCAGAAATCAATCAAAAAAATACTCGTTGCTTCAAATGCATGAAATAACTTATCACCGATCACTAAATGATTATTAAATCTTAGAACTGATCAAGAAATTATCGATTTTTGAGAATAAATTTATTAGAAAATGACCTTTTCGGATGTTGATATTACATCAATATTAGGTAAAGTCATTGCATTTTGAGTTGTTGCTATTACTGTGTGCGTTTTCTGTCGTTCAATAAACTGTCAAAAAATTATTTATCAAAAAAATATTGAAATAATGAATAAATCTTGCACTAACTTGAAAAAAATAATGCAAATATATAATTGGATTCTGAGAGCAAATTTAAATATACTTCTAAGTAGTCAAGTATTACGTGAATAATATTTTAATAAACCTTCAGAAGGCAATTTCTTGATTCACCTGCATTTCTGAATCATCTTTTGTCGTAGCTTTTTGTACTACATTATTCGCATTTTCTACGTCAGCAATTCGATCTTTTCTGCGTGGAATCTTACCAGGATTTAAACCTAAAGTTCGTTCTACCTGACGAGGTGCCGATTTACTCGTGCGTTCTCTCATACTGTAAGCTCTTCTGTGAATCTGAAACTCTCCATCTTATGCAATATTCTACAAAATATGAATCCATAATATTTTTACTTTTAAAAAAAAGTACTTAATTATACTGTATGTATTATGTAACAAAATAAGTTTATACTTTATCTTGCGTAGAGTCATGATACTGCCCGTCATATGATTCGTGTTCTTCCTCCACAACCTAAAATATCTACTTGAAATTTTTTAATTTCTTAAACAGATTTAGATAAGCGTACAAAAGCAGTACTTTTTCGTATACAGAAAATGGTCGAGATCGATCTAACGACTGAGTTCTTTCTTTGTAACTATCAGTGTCTACTTTTGCTGTACCTGCACTCGAAGATCGTTTGTACAGCTATAATAATATTTGCAATAATTTTATTTGAAATTTTTTAAGCAAAAAAATTTTTGAATTTAAATTATAATTTGGTTTTTTTTGAAACATAAATAACTGAATAAGATTTAAGTGTTTTTTATTTTGGTACTAAAAGTTATTTTGCAAATTAATGTAGTGGTAAGCAGCAATATTACTATTGATGATTTATAGGATTTAATTATCCTACTAAGTAATCTTAATTCAATTAGTTCTCATTACATATTTATTGAGCATAGTATTTGGGAAAGTCATTATAATATATACTGTAGATGTATAAAATTACTAATAAAATATACTCTGCTCAAACTAGAAAGCTTAGGTCGTGGAGCTTTTGGTTCTTGCATTTCTATGAATAAACCACCTGAAATATATTTTTATAGCTCATAGTTCAAGCTAAAAATATTTTCAATAATTGCAATTCAAAAATTTGAAATTTTATTTTTTCAAAAATATAAATTGATTCAAATATCAAAAGTGTAAATTCTATTTAAGCGTCAAAAATTTAACTATAAGTTAAACATCCATCAGTAATTGCAAGCTATCAAAAAGTTTATAATGAATAAATAATGCATTAATTAGGCAAAAAATTAAGATTCGAACAAACATTCTCGAATACGACGTTGCTCTTCAGCATTCAGCAGACTCCACATCTTTGCTTTTACAACAGACCCTGCATAGTGAAGTAAATGCTTATTTGTTAGCTCATATAATCGTCGAATCAATGCTATGAATCTCTGAAATTAAAACTCCCAAAATAGCGATTGCTACAAGCATAGAATCTTCAAGTTATATTTGTTATTATTCTGAATCAAAAATTTTGTTAAATTGATTTCAACTTTATAAATTATAATTAACTTTACTTTTAATTTTACTAATGCAAATAAGTTATCAGGTTGAAATCAAATTAAATTTTTGCTCTGCTTAAACTAAACAATCACTTTTTTCATCATATGGCTTAAATTTTTACTGTCTTATACTTAATAACGAAGATTTTGATCGATTTACCGAAATAAATTCTCATTAAAAATAATAGAATAATTTAAAGTCGAATTCAGTTCGTGTTCCTAAATTGGTTATGTTTGCTTTACTTGTAACTTATATATAGGAGAAAAATAAACAAATTTTTCAATGCTATTTTTGACAGAGTTAAGGAAACAGAGGACTCAGATTCCAGGATTAGATTCCATGATTTAGCTTACCAGATTCCACTTATCTTGTTCTTCTCTCTGTCCAGAATTTTCGTCAAATATCTGTTCGCTAGTAACAATTTTTACTAGTTCTTTCAGATTTAAATAAGTTTGTATTGCAATGTCGGCGGATAAAGTATGTATAACAGTTGGAAAGATATCTTCTATTAGTGTTAGATTCAAGGCTAGACCCTTAAAATTTATTTTAAGCAATATTTGCTACTATTTTTTCAATTCAATAATGTATTTTTGTAATTAATTTGCTAAAATTGTCAAAGTTTAATCTATAGACTAAAATGCTACATTACTAGATATAATATGCGTAAAGTACTGACCTTACCTTGTGATTTAAATGATTCTGATGCAACTATAAGATCAAATGATTGAAGTAAAAATTCTTGCATATATTCAACTAAATCATTTACTAATCCCTGAATTATTTGTGCACTTGATTTTGATCTTGGCAAAGAAACCTATAATTATTAGTAAGTAATTAAATTATTCAAATTTTTCAAAATCGAATTAATCAAACTCTTTTTATTTAAGAATTTTTATAAATATATATAAATTATGGTAAATGAATATAACATTTCTACAAACCTGTAGTCTTTGACAACCCAACAAAACATCCATAAAAGATTTCTCATCCTAAAAATATAATAATTAATATTACTCAATTTTCCGTGAGTGATAAAATTATGCTTCAATTATTTATTTGATTTGTAAGATAGTTGTGCAACTGAATCTTTATATCTCACTAATTAGATTTCTAAATCTTACTTTTAGTCAGGAAAATTGTTAGTATTTAAATAATAATTGTTAATATTAAAATTATTAAAAGCTGAAAGTATTAATTTGATGAAGTAATGTAATCCAATTCACCAATTCTTGAACAACAGCTTCAAAACATTCTTTTTGCCAACGTGGATTCAAATGCATGAATATACGACTTTTCCAAATTCGAGGAAAATATTTTGCTTGCCAAGATAAAGCCTTAACAAGTAGCACTCATTACTTCACAATCAAGAAAATTTGTTGGAAATGATCAAGAAAGTCCATAGAAAAGGGCTAAAATTTTTTACTTCTTCATAAAGAGGTTTCAATGAACGTATTGCGTGAAACTGAGGTAAAGCGTCAAATACTGCAGAAACACACGTAGCGCAAGGCTATAAATGAGATGCAGCAGAATTCACAGAATCATATTTTTAATTTAATTTTTCAAATTATTTATGAGTTGACGAAAAATTTGAAAAATGTATTCAATTAAAATTATACATTGATTTCTATTTCGATATAGATCGATTACTTAAGAAAATTACAAAATCGAAGCACATTTTTAATTTTACTCTGAAACAAATTTGCATAATTAAACTTTACAAGATTTGGAAAGATGCATATGAAGTCATTAAGTACATACTTGATTATATTCATGCTAATTCATAACATATATGCACTAAAAGATCGAAATTGAGCTTAAGATAAGTAAGTAAAAAGTTGAAAGTAATCTAACTCGATGGAAGAAGTGACATTTGGTTGCTCGAAAATGAAGCAAAATTACTTGAGTAAGACTTTCATTATTCAAATGAGTAGCTAATGAGATCAGCTCCCAAATATCCACATCTTCCCCAATTGATGTTAATCCACCATATAAAAATGACATAAAATAATGAACAGCTGTGCGAGAATACCTTAATTAATATATTTATTAAAATTATCATTTATTAAATGAAGACTTTTATTGCAGAAGATTAAGTCATTTAATTATTATTTTCTATTTTGCTTCGTAAATATAGGCTTTATTCCAGTAGTTATTAGTGTGAATGATAAGTTTTTCAAGTTCCTTTGTTAAATAATTTTTAATTATAATAATAATTACAATCAATCAAGCTGATTTTTGCCTGCTTACTTGTTCTAAATAGTCGAAACATATTGACTACTCAGTCTTGTTTTGATAATTAGTTTAATCTTTATTCATCTTTTATTCATTATTTAATTTTTCTTGTTTCAATTGCAATCTTCTCTTGTAATTCGTATAATAATTTTATTATTTATAATTTATGGAGAATTTCCGTTCTACGTAATTAC